AATTAGACTTCATTAGAAACTTTTACTTAGGGAAACACATAAATTTTATTTCAGGCATATTGAGTTTATAGCGATGATGACGTGTCCCCTAAAATTAAAAAAAAATCTTAGAAGTCAACCCTTCTTAATTACTTTAAACAGTACACTTAAGATTTATATGATAATTGTGCTCTAACATTTAAATTGTTTTTTAGCATCTCCGTGTGATCCAGCTTTCCTTCTGAGCTGTGCTCCCTGCAATGTGATCTGCTCTATTATCTTCCGGAACCGTTTTGAGTACAGTGATGAGGAATTTCTAACTATGATAAAATATATTAATGAAAATGCAAGACTTGTAAGCACCTCCTGGATAGAGGTAAGGTCAAGATTGTCTTTCAGTGAGAAATAATTACCTAGGAGATTGATTGCTCATCCAACCACATCCCTTTGTGGTATTTCAGAATGACTAAGGTTTATCAAGCTATCATTTATAACAAATCAGAGAGTTATAAAATTTCTTTAATGGGTTGAAATTAATTTTATAGCATAAAATACAGTAATAGAAAGAAAAATATAATATAGTGCAACAATTAAGGAAGTTTTTTTTTTTTGAGAAACCTTTTTTCCCCCTGATATTTATGTGTATACATGGAAAGGGTATTTATGTAAAATGTATTTTTTACTATAGTGCACTGTCAGAAAAAGTCAACAACCTGTGTTGTACAATAATTAACAACCTAAATTTTGTGTGGATCCTAAGATTATGATGTTTTCTACCTTAAAAGGACCCTAGAGAACAAATAATCTACTAATTTTTTAGACCAGAAAACTCACATAGACATACAAAGCATATTTTCCAAAGTAGCTTAGCCAGGGAAAGGGATGAGGTAAGCCTAGAAACTACATTTCTTAATCCTCTATTAGTTGATACAAGCTCCCAGCCAAATAAATTTCTTCAGTGCCTATGAAGGATATTAAGTCATGAGCTACTGTTTAAAAAGGAGCCAGTAAACTCTTGGGTGGGAATGGCCAGATAAATAAGGGCAGTGGGTACATTTCTGAGAGTGTAAAATATCTAACTAAAAATTAGCAATGTAATTTAGGCATTTTCTTAATCTTTCTAATACAGTTTTTTTTTTCATTATAAATGAAGTGTATGATATAAACAGACATAAAAGGAGTTACTGGCAGTAATAGAATAATAATAGTGGATTTTAACACACCACTTACATTAATGGGTCGATTACCCAAAGATAAAATCAACAAGGAAACATTCATGGTAAGCAACACATTAGATCAGATGGACTTATTCATAGATTTATACAGAACATTCCCTCCAAATGCAGCAGATTGTTTTCAAGTGTACATAAAACATTCTCCAGGATAGATCATGCTATGGTACAATTCAAGAAATTAAAATCATAATAAGCATATTTTCTGACCACAATGGTATGAAACTGGACATCAGTTATAAGAAGATGACTAGAAAAACACACAAACCCATGGGGGCTGAATAAGATGTTACTAAACAATAATGGGTCAATAAAGAAATCAGAGTGGAAATCCAAATCTTAAGAGAAATGAAAATGGAAACAAAGTACTCCAAAATCAATGGGATGCCCCAAAGCAGTTCTAAGAGGGAGGTTAAGAGCAAAATAGGCCTACCTCAGGAAACTTGAAAAATCTCAAGTAAACAATCTAACTTTACACATAAAATCATAAGAAAAAGAAGAACAAACAGAGCCCAAAGTTAGTAGAAGGAAGGAAATAATTAAGATCAGAGAGGAAATAAATGAAACAGAGACCAGAGTCTACAAAGAGAATACAAAAGATCAACGAAACGAAGAGCTGGTTCTCTGAAAAGATAAACAAAATTGATAAACTTTAGCCAGAATCATCAAAAAAGAAAAAAGAAAGTCTAAATAGAAAAAAATCAGAAATGAAAGGGAAAATATTACAACTGATGTCATAGAAATTCAAAGGATCATGGGAGACCCCTATGAACAATTAGACAGCAACAAATTTGACACCTAAAGAAAGTGGATAAATTCATAGAAACACACAACATACCAAGACTGAATGAGGAAGAAATAGAAAATCTTAACAGACTGATCACTAGTAATGAAATTGAATCAGAACTCAAAACACATCCAACAAGCAAAAGTCCAGGACCAGATGGCCTCCCAAGTTAATTCTATTGAACATTTACAGAAGAGTTAATAGATATCTTTCTCAAACTCTTGCAAAAAATTGGAGAGAAAGGCACACTTTGAAACTTACTCTATGATGTCAGCATTACCCTGATACTAAAGCCAGATCAAGACACTCTGAAAAAGAGCTAAAAATGGGCCAATATCCTTGATGAACATAGGTGCCAAAATCGTCAGCAAAATATTAGCCAACAGAATTCAGCAAGATATTAAAAAATCATATGCCATGATCAAATCAAAGTTATTCTGGGGATGCAAGGATGATTCAGTAT